TATGCAATATCGGTAATCAACTCTCACGGCCAGGTCGCTGCGGCCGCCTCCGTTCTTGCTTCTTCTTCGGAGGAAGCGGAAGAGGCGGCCATAGCCCTGGCCCTGACAATACCTAGTTCATCCGTTATAATCAGTGACTCCAAAACAGCTATATATAATTTCGGAGCGGGCAGGGTTTCTAAGCCAGCCCTTTCCCTACTTTTGCATCATCCCCTTGATCGACTTGTAGCACTAATCTGGACTCCCGCGCATGCGGGCCTTGCCGGAAACGAGGCGGCTCATGCGAGTGCCCGAGGATTCACAGTCCGGGCACACGCATCCGATGTGTCGCAATTCGCTACGAATGAGGCGCCATTTACAGCGCGGGATCGCCTTATTTCATTCCACGATATTTGCACACACTACCGTTTAGAGCGATTAACCTTCCCGCCACTCACGCGCAAATCTTCACGCAGGTGCGAAATTCTGTGGCGACAGCTGCAGACTCGCACCTTTCTTTCGCCTTACCTCCTACACCGCATTCATCCATCCTGTTATCCTTCCCCCTCATGTAAATTTTGTGCCTCCTCCACAGCAGACTTGAACCACATCATGTGGCGCTGCCCTAAGCACCCTCTTCCCCCATTCCTGAAACGCCTAATTTCTAGTGAGGAGCAGTGGGAGGCTGCCTTGCGCAGCTCGAGGCCCGCTATCCAGGAGGCCATCCTGGAGTGGGCTGAGAGGGTAGAGGAGGACTACTTCAAGTAGTTCATCCCCACCACACCCTTTCCTGTTGCCCCCTTCCCTTTAACAAGGGATAAATAAAGTTGTTCATTCATTGGTGCCTTTAGGTTGTATACGAGGGACTATTCGGTCAGCTGCCAGTTGGTAATAAGTTCACGTTCTACGTGACGCCAAACAGGCTCATAAAGAGTGTGCCACACTCGCCGCCATGGCTACTAGTGGCGCTGACTGACACTCCCACGTTTAAATTGACCTAGATACCCAATAAAGCGCCTGGGGGGATAGCTGTCGTGGTAGCTCAGTGGTAGAGCATCAAACGCGTCATTCGAAGTTCACAGGTTCGGATCCTGCCCACGGCGAGTTATCTTTTTACCCACTTTTCTTTCTTCTCATTTACATTACAATTGGCCTAATAACTTCCCCTATACCTTCCTTGGTAATATTGTCTGTAAGATCTCATTAATACTGCGTAAACACGAAAAACCAGCCCTTAAGTATACAGTTGTTTCCCTTATATATAATCAGCTTTCTTTTCTTCTGCATTTCGAGTTTCTCTGTGTGTGGCAAGGGACGCAGCATTACTTTGGCACTCAATTTGCATTATACCGGGCAACGCATGGTTACTCACCCATACGATACCGAGAGCTTGGCTTACTTATGACTCACTTTTGGGAGGTATGGATGGATAGATGAAAGCACGTCACTAATGTCAAATAGGTCGCGCTAATGTTCTAGCGTGAAGCGTGCCGCCTCCACGTTGGGACCGAAAGATCTAGCCTTTCAGCCCCTTCGCGGGCCCGTTGTACTGCACATAATTTTCCCTCTATTGTAGGAATGTGTAAAGCTGCGTCCCATTGTTCTTCAGTATTTTCCTTGTCGCTGCGTTACGTGGAGCTACGCCAGAGCATATGAGCGAGATCTATGGTGTCATGGCATTTGTGGCATATTGTACGAACTCAGAGCTCCAGATAAATCCTGGTTATTAACAGCGGGTTCGGGTGGGTTCTTGTCTGTAATAGCCTTAGCGTAATGGCCTGAGCTCTGTTTCGTTTACTGTGTGGAGGGAAAAGACCCGGCGTTCTGACAGAAATGTTTCGCTATCTCGTTGTACGAGAAGTGATTCTATTGCATTCTGAAACCTCGACATCTTCTTGCCTTGTGGCTGCATGGTTGACAAGTCCTCATGCAGCTTTGTGGGCAGATTCGTTGAGGTTCGCGGGAGCAGAGTTGATTTCTCCTTCGTTTACAAAAACCAAATAATCGTGTGTGGCTTGCTTACTTTTCCCTTCAGCATTGCCCGTCTAGAGATGGCTCCTTTGGCAAATGCTCGCACGAGTAACCGAACTGCTGTGGATACTCGATCTGTTTGGGTCTAAATGTTCCTATGCAGTGGCTAGTTGCTCGGAAATTTTCAATTCTGTGGTGTAGATGGAATCAGAGTTGAATATAGTTAACCTTTACCGTTCGCAAGTACTGTTGTGGAAGCTCGTTCGTTGGACGCGAAATACACGTCGACAAACGAGCATTCGTCAGCCCGACGTTCAGCTTTTTTTAGCAGAGCTTTGGCTTGGGGCTTGCCTTCTGCTCACAATATGAATGAGGCGAACATTCCTCGGAACAGGTATAACTGTGATGTAGTCCCTGAGATCGTTGGGGATTTATTTGTGGTTGTAATTTATCGCTGTAATCGGTGAAACAATTCGTTTGAGCATGTGCCTTCTTCCTCAATGCGTTGTTGCGAGTCTAATGAACTGGGATTTTTGTTGTATCTCGGCGATTTCCTTTAAAGTATTGTGCATCCAAAGCTGCACGAGTCTTTCAGTTTCGGTGTACATAGGTAGCCTAAGGGCTACCTTGATTGCCTTTTTCAGCAATGCATTGAGCTTGTCTCTTTTGAATCTCTGCCACTCGTGCATGGATGCTGCGTAGGTGCAGTGGCGTGACACAAACGAGTAAACAAGTCATACGACGTGGTCTTCTCTAAGCCGTTGTTGGTGGTTAGAAACTATTTTGATCTGCCTGATTGAGTTGTGCACTTTCTTAGCGATACGCTGAATAGATCGGTTATTGGAGCCATTGGCTTCTATCCTCAAGCCCAGCACACGAATAGAATTTACCCTCGGAATGACGATTCCACTCACGGTATAGGGCGTTATATCGTTCTCCTCTGTTGCAATTCATCCTCTCGGTTCGTGGCCTCTTCTCTCAGGTCTCTGTAACAGATTTCTTGGGTGGGCATCTCACTTTGTTCAGATGCGCGGATTTATTTGTAGCGTCGAATACATGCTGTTGACTAATTAGGATTGGGGAAAGTTTCGATTTCCCGATCAAGCGAAGTCTCTATTTAATTGACCGAGTTCCGACGGCGACAGTTCACACCATGATCTCTAACGGCCGTTATTTCTTTCACGAGAATCACTGTAGCTGCCCAAGAAATTGATGATTTTTGGATGACACCATTCTGTTGCATTTCATCAACTTGGTCGTCTACTACGTCGTGTTCAGACGGCGGCACACACTGGTTCTTGTCGAGTTGGCTGTTCTGTTGCCTTATTACACCCGAAGCGTCTCATGGTTGAGCTCAATGCCGGTGTGCGGCGCGACCACCCTTACCACGCATGCGCATGCGCTGCCCCCCTTCTCTCCTCTCCCACGCTACCCCCGATCTCGCCTCACGACGCAGGCAGCTTCTGTTAATCTACGCTCGCTTCCCCCTTCTCTCATCCAGACATCCCCCTTCGTGGCGTTTACACCCCCATCGCGCATGCAAGAAGAAACTTGTTTTATATTTTCGCTTCTCCCTTAGCGGGTGAGAGCCACAAGAGAGGATCAAGCGAGCAATTTTCGCTTACCCTGTCACCTTAGGTTGTATCTTGGACCACTTCCTGGTTAGTTATTGTACAAGCGAATATAAATTTATCTATTTAATTTGCTTCATTGCCATTTTTTTTGCGCGTGTTTAGTTGTCGCACCTAGAAGAATCCCCTGAGCAAAGCGCAATTTTCAGCGTTTACAGAAGTTATATTGCAGGTAGGAACTATGTAAGAACTGTAAGACAAAATGCAGGCTGGAACATTGAATACTCGTTGGAACATTGGAGCGGCATTTGCGGTGTGTTGACTTCTTTCTCGAGTCAGTGCTTGCAAATGACCTGTTTTTTAGAATGAATACTTACCAACTAGATCAGATCTGTTATTGTCCCTCACTTGCATAGCCAGAGGGTAGCACATCCGCCACGTGCTCCTCTCCCCTGCCACCCTTGTCGAGCTTTCAAAACTTTTATGTCAAAGAGCACAGAGCACAAAATGACACGCGCGCGCAGACACGCACACGCGAACGCGCACACCAAATAAAATCCTCGCATTAGTGATTCACAATACCCAAAGATTTGCCCACTCGTCATGTTTCTCTTCGTCGAGATCATGACAAGTAGGCGAATCTCTGGGTATCCTATCGGTGAGTAACTGTACGTTACGCGAGCGTTGTCCCATATAATGTAAATTGAGCGGCCTAAAGTCTAAAGAGAAATATGATTTTATTTACACTTCCAGTTTTCTTGAACAATTGAAGTACATCGAAAATGGCTGGAGTGGAGGATATGCCTCGAAAGTGAATTCAAGAACACGCTTTTTCACAGGTGGCAAGATACAATATTAATATGGGCAATTTGTTGGGGCATACAGGGCTCAACGGTGCCTTTGTGTTGAAGGTTTCCTTGAGAAGTTTCAGCATGTATGCACATGTCAGGGAAGCTCAACTCTTGAATCCTCTTTCTCATAGATTATTTTCACCGGGAAAGTGATCTCTTGCTTTGTAAACAGCTTATTTCTTCGTTGTAGTCAGTTTTGCAAAACCACTTTTTTTTTTTTCGTCTTGCATACGTTTACTATATCAACGGTTCTATACCGAGACCACAACGAAACACATGACTAGGTTCACAAGGAACACAAGGAGCTTCGTCCCTTAAAAAAAAAAAATTGAATTTTCGGGTGGTACTTCTCACACGCAAATAAATATTCATTGCATTGGTCGCTCTTCTGTTTTTGAAAACGCCGCACTTGTCGATTTCCTGTCAATACGCCATGAGCTGCTGATAGCGTGCGCCGCTCGGGAGCTAGAACTATCGGGACCGCCGTGATAACGCAACTATACAACACGCGAGGTAGATGGCGATTGCAGTTGTGTGACCGAGTTCCCGAATAAAATTTTTATTGTTATGGAGAACTGCGTTGTCGGTCGTTGCCTGATTGTGCTATTGGGTCCTTGACTCTTTTCAGATCGTTTCACTTGGATTCTGCGTGGAACCTCGGGATTCGGGTGACAACCGATAAGATCTTCGCTCGAACCCGGTCTTCCTTGTTCAACGCGGAGGCCTCTTCATCTAACTCATTTATTTTTGTTGACGTGGTCCATGCTTCGTTCTGTTCTGTAAATATACTAAAACCGATGTGTATATAATAAAGTTCACCGTCTGAGGCCTCCTCTTGCCCATTAACTACTCCATCGCACTGACGTGCCATTTTAACGCGATAGTTATACGAATGTTACACGCATGTTACACAGGCAAAGCAAACGTGGTTACGACCAACCACGGTTGACCGCGTTGAACCGCGGTTAGCGCCAACCACGGTTCGCCGATGTTACACAGCGCGAAAGCATCCTCGGTTAAAATGGCTAACGCCATTTGGCGTAGAACAATGAACAGAGCGCCCCTTACTTGCGTATATATGCTCCGAATACATTCAGCAGCAAACAGGCAAAAATTTCATGTGCCCCCTATAGTATATTCATGTACTTACCGGTACTTCTTGTTCAGATTGTCTGTCTTCTTCCGGACTCGCTTTGGCGTGAATTGCTCTGCGTCAGGCTGAAGTTCAGCGTTAAACTCGGCTGTAATTGCCGCGTACTCCTTTGCAGTGCATGACGTGCTCCGCATATCATTCGAATGATTTCCCGACATCCTTATCAGGCTTTATGCGTGGTTCGTGCCATCCAGCTCGTCCACTTTTCACGCGCCCTCGCCGGCATGCCACAAATGCACGATGTTACTTGCAGCTGCTTCTAGAATAAACACTACATAAATTCCATGTAGTGGAAGGAGTCTCCTTAATGCATTTCGTTCGACAGGTGTCGCGACGGAAACGAGCCCATTCGGCTATTTGTAGGCACAATTGGGGGCACCATCAAACTACGTCGAAAAAGGCCGGGCTAGGGCATCCATCGCCGCTGAAAACACACAGCAACTTTCAAACAGCTCTAAAAACGGACAACTATGTCCATCTAGCGGAAAACATATGTTTTTCCAGAGGCGTTGATCAAGCAGACAGCAAACGCTAGATAATGTGCTACCATTTGTAAGGCATTGTGAGACTATGACAGAGGGAAGTGGCCACACTGCACAGTCACTGCATTACTATAAATACGTCGCGCTTGTGTGTGTGTGTGTGTGTGTGTGTGTGTGTGTGTGTGTGTGTGTGTGTGTGTGTGTGTGTGTGTGTGTGTGTGTGTGTGTGTGTGTGTGTGTGTGTGCGTGTGTGTGTGTAACAAAACATATTGGTATGGTGAAATGCACTTAGCAGTTGAAGGGCGCGCTAAGGGCCGGATTTTGCTCTCGTGTTCAACTCTTAAAGGCGAAGCTCAAGGGTCCCCCAACTTTTCAGATTACAAAAGAAAAACTTCAGTTGACCTTGACGTTCATGTGTCGTTAATAGCGCTAATCCTCCAGCGATCTGTGAACTTTTGGTCCGATTGTGTATACTTTAGAGTGAAGTAGGGTATGTGCCATTTGATGGCGAGAGAGAGATAAAGATGCAAGGAAAGGCAGGGAGGTTAACCAGACGCACATCCGGTTTGCTACCCTGCACTGGGGAAGGGATAAAGGGGAGAAAAGAGGTTGCAGAAAGATGAGAAGGTACACACAATCACGAGCACACTCGGGGAGCACACACAGTCTACGGGCGGTCGCTCAGGTTTGTTGACTTAAGGTAAAGTAGCAGTGCTTTAGTCGCTTTCTGCGCAACTGAGGCAGATGCCCAAGGTCCTAGTATCTTCTGCACACAAAATGGTCCGGGGTCAAGTCGATTCAAAACCATCCGGAGCTGGCATCGCTGTGTGTCGTAGCAAGCGCAGCTGCACAGGACGTGTTCGATGGTCTCTTCATCTCCGCAGTAGTCGCATGTAGGAGTGTTTGCCATACCAATGCGAAAGGAGTACACCTTTGTGAATGCAACACCCAACCAAAGGTGGCATAACAGTGTCGCATCGGAGCGGGAAAGTTGTATTGGTAGCTTTAGCTTGAGCGAAGGATCCAGTTCATAAAATTGACACCTTTGGAAGCTGGTAGACGACCAGAACGTGCGTGTGAGATCTCGAGCCAGCAGGTAAAGTTGTCTTGCTGCATCATTCCTTGATAGATGAATCGGGACTACACGGGTTCCTTCATGGGCTGAGCAGGCTGCATCATCGGCTAATTGATTTCCGGTAATACCGATATGTCCAGGCAGCCATTGATATATAATATCATGCCCTCGTGCTAGAGCTTCATGATGGCAATGTCTTATTTCTTGTACCAGTTGGTCATGACTCCTCCTACGCATGGCAGACTGCAAACTCTGAAGCGCTGCCTTCGAATGACAGAATATGACCCATATTCCTGCACGTTCTTGAACGAGATACTGTAAAGCAGCCCTTATAGCAGCAAGCTCTGATGTCGTAGATGTAGTCATATGCGACAACTTAAACTTGATTGTCATTGCTGCAGCCGGAATTACAGCGACACCTGATGAGCTGCTGGACGAGACGGATCCATCAGTGTATATCTGCGTTCGGTCTAAGTACAACTCATGTAATAATAGCAGAGTTGCTTGCTTCAATGCTACTCTGGAGTGATTGCTTTTCTTTTTGATTCCGGGAATTTCTAGACGTACTTGCGGCTGGTCGAGGCACCACAAAGGACATACCATTCTCGCAGCTGGCGTATATCCTGATGGAATGCTGTTTAGGTGCTTGGCTATGAAGTCTGAAAACGTAGCACGTGGTCTTCTGGAGGGTAGAAGGGCCAAGTGGTGGTCGGGGACACGGCTAGCATGTCAAATGTGCGCTCTGAGGCAATCCACAGCTATATATGTCCTGACCGGATGGTCTTTGGCAAGCATGATTGTGGCATAAGTAGAAGCGCATCGGGGCAGTCCTAGGCAGATACGTAGTGCCTGACCCTGCAAACTCTCCAATGAATGAGTATTCGATTTGCAAGTGTTAGTCAGTACCGGCAAGCTGTAGCGCAATAGACCCAGAAATAGGGCCCTGTACAGCTGTAGCATGGAGGCCACAGAAGTTCCCCAAGCTTTACCGCACAAGAATTTCATGATATGCACAATAGATAGCAGTCTCTTCTTCAAGTACGCACAATGTGGGCTCCACGAAAGACTTCTGTCGATTATTATGCCCAGGAAACGATGCGTCCGTGCATATTTGACACTCTAACTATTGATGTAAGCAGGGTATGGCGTCATTGGTTTGCGTGTAAACGCCATCAACGCGCACTTCACAGTTGATATATTTAGGCTTTGTTTCTGAAGGTAGGCTGTTGTGAGGGTTGCTGCACACTGTATTCGTGCACGCACCTGAGGGCGAGTAACTGCAGCACTCCAGAGGCAAATATCATGGGCGTATATGGATAGGCACACCGACTTTGGCAGAACCTTCACCAGACCAATGAGGGCCACTTTGAACAATGTGGCGCTTACAACACCTCCCTGAGGTACTCCGCAGTAGGTGTAATGTTGGGCAGTTGTACCCTCACATGTTTGTACAAAGAAACCCCTGCCAGTTATATAATCTTTTATCCATTGAAACATTCGTCCACCAATGCCCATTTTTTGCGAGAGAAGTGAGGATGGCATCGTGAGCTACATTATCATATGCACCCTTCACGTCAAGAAAGAGTGCCACTGATATGCGCTTGCGACTTTTTTCTTGTTGAACAAATGTAGATAAATCGAGGACACAGTCAATGGAGGAGCGGCCCCGACGAAAGCCTGCCATGCAGGAAGGGTATTTGGTGTATCGTTCCAAGTACCACTCGAGACGAAATAGAACCATTCTTTCCATCACTTTTCCGAGGCAGCTTGCGAGGGCAATAGGGCGATACGCTGTCAAGTCCAATGGTGATTTTCCCGATTTCAAAAGTGGTATTAATCGACTTATTTTCCATTCTCGGGGAACACTGCCGCTGAGCCAGGAGTTGTTGAAGCATGTTAAAAGTTCTTTTCTAGCTTTTTGTTCAAGGTGTCCCAACGCACTATAAGTAATACCATCAAGACCTGGCGATGACATGCGCTTAGAAGCGACTAACGCACCTTGCAGTTCTTACATGGTGAACGGAATGTCCATTTCTAGTAATCGCGTCTCAGGAATGATCACGGCGTCGATGCTCTCGTTCATAATATTCCCGGCAACTCTCGTGCAAAATTCTTCAGCCACCTCGAGTTCTGTTTTTCTATGATGGAGTGCCAAAGCTTTAAAAGGGTGCCGTTGTTGTGGAGAGGAGCGAAGACCGGAGATGACGATTGCCACAAGAAAGCAGTGTGCTCACTCAATGCATTTTCCTTAAAACGTTTTTGGCCCTAAGCACTACAGAAATACGATTTAAAAAAGTAAAGCGTAGGGACAACATAGTCCATGAAAAAAATCTTTGGACGCTCCCGTGGGAGTTTTGCTTACATCTAGCGACGAATTCTGCAGATACGTGGAGATGTGGCCATCGTCAAAGTGCAATGAGTGAAACTGCTGCGCGCCACACTCGCCGGAGAACTTGAATCGATCACATCAAGGAGCGTCGGCCAACAAGTGACAAGCTCATTTACGCTTTTTTTCCCTACTGAATGTGGCTGTGGCTGGCCCGTGCGCACCGCTCGGGCACAAAAGACGACGCCATTTCAAGTTCTTTCTCAACCGAAATGTTTAAATCAAGTTTAAAAATTTAGATCGTGTTTAAAATTTTGATTGTTTGACATCTATACGAATCGAGGTAAACATGACCAGGATTTTGGGACTTGTGCACGTGGTGCCATTTTTCGGGGCTTCCTTAACTGAACGGGACGTAGGCGAAAAAAATCATATCTGATGAAGGAAGCTAGTTATCAAAAACAGCGGCCGGTTTTGTATGTTAGAGACTTATTTGAAGAGTCTCGCAAAGAGACAGTACCACACTGAAAACCACCTGGCTTCCCACAGTGTTTATATTTAACATTGTAATCCGGTGTATTTCTAGGGGCGGTATTCAATTGATCTGGGAAGCCACTAGTTTAGTAACATGACACTTTGATTTTGCCAAAATGTACCTGTGGGTCTCTGCTACACATAACTTGGAGTCGTTTTTGATAACTACTTTCTTTCAAGAGATATAATTTTTCTCATTTATTTCATATTTAGTTATGAGTTACAGTACCACACTGCAAACCACCTGGCTTTCCACAGCGTT